CTGCTGGACTGCCCCCTCACAAATGGACCTCTGCCCCCAGATGGAGCACCCCTCAACTCTCCAGAGTACCTGAACCGCTTATCTCTCACAATCTGCTCTCGGCTCCGCTGACGCACACCCTCAATCCTCCGGGCTATCTCTACAACTCGCTCATAAGAAGTACCCATCTCAATCTCTCGAGTTATAGTGGCCTGAATACTAGTATGTAAACTGGCGACAAACCTCCGCACTCTCTCCGCCTCAGTAGAGATAATTCAGAAAACCTCGCCTCATAATCAGTCACTAACATCTGACTCTGCTGGAGCTGCTCAAACTGAAACCGCAACTCTTTCCTCTGGGAGGGTGGAATATACATGTCTAGGAATATACGGGTGAACCTGTCCCAAGTCATGGGAGGAGAATCTGCTGGTCTGCCAAGAGCATAAGATTGCCACCATCTACGGGCTCTGCCCTCTAGCTAAAAAGTAGCAAAGTCAACCCCTTGAGACTCCAATATCCTCATGTTGTACAGTCGATCCCTGCAACGATCAATGAAGTCATGTGGATCCTCATGCCGCTCACCCCCAAAGACAGGAGGATGTAGTCTAGTCCATCTGTCCAATAATTTCTGAGGATCGGCAGCTACAGCTAGCTTGGGCTCAGGTGTAGCTGCTGCCACTAGCTGGGCTCCACTCACGCGTAGTGCACCATGGGTCTGAAATACAGTAGCTGCTTGTCCATGAGCCTGCGCGGTAGGGGTATGTGCTCCCCCGCCCGCCTGAGATGTGGCTGGGTCTGCCGGAAATAAATCGGCCTGAGTCATATTGTCCATGAACCGCAACATACGACCCATGACATCCTGAAATCCCGGTACAAATGTGAAATCCACCGGAGTTGGCTCTGCCACATGCACCTCACCCTGCTCCTCAATAATGGAATTCTCTGCTGGACCCACTGGCGGCATAACTGGAACAGTCTTGGGACGTCCTCGCCCTCTACCACGGGTTGGAGCCCTCCCTCGGCCTCGTCCTCTAGCAACTGGGGGAGTAGCTCTTCCCTGGTCTGAAACTTCATTCGAGCGCGTTCTCACCATCTATGAGAGAATAATAGAAGGATATTTAGTATTACATTAATTGCACGATGAAATATGAAGAAAGGTAATTTGCTAACACCCTATAGCCTCTTGAATATAAGTACAGATGTCTCTGTACCGATCCGCAAGACTCTATTAGCCATGCTCATAACTTGTGAGACCTAAGTGAACCTAGTGCTCTGATACCATGTTGTCACGACCCAATTTCACCTATAAGTCGTGATGGTGCCCAACACTACAGCTAGGCAAGCCAACTAATAAATTAAGCATACATTGATAAAATTTAAAACCAAAAAAATAAAATAAAATTCAAACTCTACCAATGTGTGTGCCAAGACCTGGTGTCACAAGTGTATGAGCATCTAGTAGATTATATAAAACCTCAAATGTTATCCGAAATAAAAATAGACAGAATTAAAATACAAAGAGAGAGACTAGTAGCTACAGAACGGATCAGAGAAACAGCTCACCACTATGTCCCTGGATAACGTGGGTGTACGACGATATGTCCCCTACTAGTACTTGCCTCAGTTCCTGCACAAAAAATACAGCAAGTGTAGTATGAGTACGTAAATAACGTGTACCCAGTAAGTATCAAGCCTAATCTCGAAGTGGTAGAGACGAGATGGCCGACTTTGACACTCACTATGGGGCAATAATAATAATTGAAATACAACTAGGATATTTAAATCAACATGATTTACAGAATTTACAATCATTTATTAAATCAATGGAAATAATCAAAAATATTCAAATACAACAATTCTCAATATATTAATTAAATTCCTTCAATTCAAATAATTTCTCAATTTAACAATTAAATATCATCTTCAGGAATAACAATTAATTATTTAACAAGAAAAAATAATAATTCATTAAATTCAAAAGATTTTTTAATTTATCAATTAGCTTTGCAAACTGAAATAAGCTATTAAAGTATCATGTAATTATTATTATTATTAAGCACGATTTCTGCCGAGGACGTACGGCTCGATCCAGAGTGTCGTGTACACTGCCGAGGGACGTGCGACGCGATCCATAGATGCATCTATCCTGCCGAGGCATTCGGCCCGCTCCACAAGAAAGGAGGATATTTTCTTATGTACCTCCGGAAGGATAGTATATTTATTATGAGATCAATTCANGCCGAAAAATCCGAAACTATTCAAAAGTTATATAAAATAATTAATATATGTTCAATAATTCGAATTTCATTTATTAAATAAATTACCCTATTCAAAATGGTAAAATTTCTAAAATTTACCCCGGACCCAAGTGCCCGAATTTTGGAAATTTTCGGATAAAATCGTTACCCATAATCTCAAGAACTCAAATATATAATTTCTACCCAATTTCATAACTATTTTCGTGGTTAAAATTTTATTTTTATAAAATATCTAGGTTTTTCACCTAACCATTTGATTTTTAAGATTTACTAGTTATAATCTACTTATAATCTATGTATTTAAATCAAGGGGTATATAATTAACTTACCTCCAAATTGCTAGTTGAAACCCCCCTCTCAAAAGCTCTGAAATCTCCCGAAAATGGAGGAAAAATGGGCTCAAAAATGGTAAAATCCCGTTCTTTTAAGCCTTCTGCCAAACATGTCTTTCGCACCTGCGGATAGATTACCGCACCTGCGGAAAATCCTCGCAGGTGCGAGTTCCACTTGCCTGGCCAATTTTCGCATTTGCGCACAAAGCTTCGCACTTGCGCGTTCGCAGGTGCACAAATCGTCCGCATCTGCGGCGGATTGCCCCTTCCCTTCTTCCGCTTATGCGCTCAAAATCTCGCATATGCGAGGGCCGCGCCTGCGAGCTTCTGTCGCATCTGCAAATGTCGCACCTGTGACTGGCCAAGCGCAAGTGTGATTCTGATAGTAGCTGGGAGCTTCAGTTTTGGCTCCCAACTTCCAACTTGGTCCGAGCCTCGTCCGATTGACACTCAGGGTCCCCGGGACCCCGACCGAACATACCGACAGGTTTGAAATCATAAAACGGATTCGCTCGAACTCTCGGAATGCGTAAAACAATATCAAATCTAAGAATCATACCCTAAACCAAATTGAATCAAACTTAATAACTTCAAGTTCTTCAAATTACTTCCAATACGCCGAAACGTACTTAAACTATCCAGAATGATACGAAATTTTGCGTGCAAGTCTTAAATCACTATACGGAACTATTCCCAAGCTCAAAATTCCAAACGGACTTCAATTTATCAAAAACCTACTCCAAACCAAATTTAAAAAATTTTAAACCTTCAAATAGTTGATTTTTACTATTAAGCGTCAAAACGCTCCCGGGTTATCCAAAACCCGATTCGAACATACGCCCAAGTCCGAAATCATCATACGAACCTATTGGAATCGCCAAATCTTGATTCCGGGATCGTTTTCTCAAAATATTGACCGAAGTCAAACTTGGCCTTTTAAAACTAACTTAAGTAACCAAGTGTTCCGATTTCAACCCAAACGCTTCCAAATCCCGAACCAACAATCTCCGCAAGTCATAAATTAATAAAAGTATGTTCGGAAAGTTTTATTTTTGGGAACGAGATTCTAAAAGTTAAAATGACCGGCTGGGTCATTACAGTTTACTTAATCTTGATTTGAATAGAACCACTCTACCCATTCGAATCTTTCTACAAGTTATTTTCATTCCCTTTTACATTTACGGCCTTGGAAAAAAAAGGGAGCGAGCCTATATAAAATATAAAATGAAATGAAAAAAATTCCATGAATAGATAGAGTCAAACGGTACGACAGACTTTATTTAGATGGATGTTAGGTATTGTTTCATAATATATCGTATAGTATTGTATAGTACTGTATCGTTTTGATTTATATAACGTTTGGATATATTATATCATTTGCCATCGTTTTATGATGTCATGCACCAATAATATGAAGAATAAACTTGCAATATTACTAAAAAAAAGGATATGAATTCTTTGTGGGAGCGAGAACTCATTTTCTTACTTTCTTTTTAGTTTATGAATTCTTATTATGTTAAATTTCTTACCGTTATAGTTTTTTTTTAAGTTGGTCAAATATTTTTTTGTTAAAATTAATAAATTTGTTGAAGTAAAAGTTGTTGAGACATATAAATAAAATTCTAAAAATTAAAACTAATTAGTAGTTTTTTTAAAAAATTCCCAACTTTGATTAAAAAAGAGCGTTAATGACTTTATTTTGAGGTCACGTGATGAACAAAACTGAGTAGTGAGCAAATTCTATTTACCGGTGCCGCTTATGCAAGTCGCTACTATGCTTTTTAATTGAACACGCTTGTATAAAATTCTGGGCTGTTAGAGCCCTGTAACTCTGTTTTGGAAGAGCCCGAGCCTAAACCAAGTGTTTAATTTAGATCTCATAAAGATAGGAAATATTGGGTTTTGTACTTCTAATTTTACATTGTGTTGCAGTACAGAAGTTGAGTAGACTCATTAGATCACAGAAATATCAAACTATAATACCTAAACTAACTACTTAAGGAGAAAAGGATCATGATGTGTAGTAGGCAAAAGGAATCATATGTATGCGATGTTAGCATCAAAACCCACAAAATATGAGTACTTAATCTGCATAGCAAAGACATGAGATTTGCAGAAGCATACCTAATTTGCTTTCTTTTGCGGGGAAAATGAATCTTGCATTTATGAATGGAGAGGAACAAGAATAAGAACGTGGAAGTTTGCAGAGAAGAGGACTTCCCATTCAAGGAAATGCGTTATTATTTTTAAGGAAATTAATTGAAAGAAAAAAAAATATTTAAAAAGGGCAAATCTGTCAAATTGTATTTATTTATATTTATTTTAAATAGGTTTAAAGAATGGTTACAATAAAATCAAAATAAGGAAGGTAAGGGTAATATTATAAATCACAAGGGAGGTCAGTGTGTGATAGAACAAAACCTGGAGGGATGTATCTGAAATTAGTAACAATACGATACAATACAACATGTGACAATCATCCAAACAAACTGTTTCCGATAAACTCTCGGTTCCCTCACTCCAATAACTTTCCACCTTGTTCTTTGGATGACTCGAAAGCATCAACAATTTCATTGCCTTCCTCTAGAGCATCGGATTCAATAGCAAGGGTTATTCAACTAAGACCGGATTCTTTTTTTCAGAACCTTGTTACTTTTAAGCTGTCTTTATTTGACAGGGGCGGAGAATACCACTCTATCAATAACAAGAAAAAAGAAAAAAGTAGCAATTCGGAGCTTTTTTTTTTCACTTGGTCGCCTGGTATCTTGAAACACATTCAATGAAGCAGCCAGTACGGACAGTTATATTATTTCCAGTCCAAATGGCTTGCTAGTTTCCTGAAGCACACTCGCATCTGTCTATCTATGTCATAGTTGGCTATTTCTGCACCTTCTAATCGACCTGAATTCCCTCTTCTAAGAACTTCAGTCAAAAGGGAGTAAAAGAGGGGGGAGGGGGAAAGTAAAGGCCACGACCTCTTGTCGGAAGAGAGGATCAGTTATTCTTAAAACTCTTTTATCATACTTTTCATCAAAATTGGAAGTTACTTATTTGATTAGCAAATCAACTTCTCAAGTTACTTTTATTAAACACAAGTTAATAGAATTAGGATTTACATAAATTGATATGGTTCACATCTTACAATTATATACTAGTACTGTTTTATGTCTGAAGCAACAGAATTACCTGCTAAAAGAAAAAGAATACCTGCTAGCCTGAAAAATTCCAGACCAGCAAATCATTGAACGTTCCAGTATTTTGCCTGCAAATTCTGAAAACTAGCCAAGGGAAGAAGCTCCGGCATGGGATTGCCGACAGACGACGCCGTAGTGATTCAGAAAGGGAAGAAACCTGGTGAACCTTATGTAATTACGGTGAATTGTCCGGATAAAACCGGCCTCGGCTGTGATATTAGCTATACTATTCTCGATTTTGGTCTCTACATTATCAAAGGAGGTAATCTACTAATTTTATATCTTATCGGATTTTATTTATATATATCCCAGCTTCACGTTTTCTCCACATGCTTCTAGCTCCGATCTTATACATTATTTACTTCTATTTTGTTTAACATTTCGTCTGATTAGGGTTTTGAATGTTTCATATAAGTTGCTTGTTGCGGGATTATTCCAAGTTTCAATTTTTTTAATGATTTAAACAATCTACTCGTATTTTCATGTTAAGGGAAGCTTTGTTTCCTATTTCTGTTTTGAAATTATATATCTTAATTGCCAGCATTTATACATGCTTTGTCTGGTTTTTTGGTGACACTTTTAGGCACATATGTATGTAGTGATATATATGCTAATGGATATTGCAAATGTTTGTCTACTGTCTCGGACTCGGCTTATATATGTATGTAGAAATCAGAATATTTAAAGAAATCTTAAGAAGTTTGTATATGTATTAAGGGGTGCCTATGTTTAAATCATGGATTCACCATGAAGTTATACTACCATATTGGTTTTCACGCTTTTGTTGAGGTGAATGAACATCGAGTTGTACAATTTTAGCTGTCGGACTTTGCTTCTCCTGTTCTCTTAAAACTATTGTCATGTACTAATGGCAGTGGCAGAACTAGGAATTTGAGTGAGGGGATTCAAAATAATCTAAAAATGTCACACCTAAAATATGAACCTATGTCAAGGGGATTCAATATTTTATATATGTAAAAAAAAAAATATATATTTTACCCTTCCTGCACAGTGGAAGATTCCGGCGTAGGGAATTTAATTGAATCCCCTACACCAAAGGTAGCTCTGCCACTGACTAACTGTTGGCAATTTAGCTCCCTTGATCTATTTAGTTTTCCTTTTCTCTTCGTCTTTAGTAAGTGCTCAAAGTTTCTATGAATCAGATGTTTCAACAGATGGGATATGGTGCTATGTGATATTATGGGTGGTTCCTCATGCTTCCTCACCTATGGTAAGGTGGGCGAATTTGAAGGAGCGCCTTCTATCAGTATGCCCGTCATGTTCTGTTTCATTCTATTTGAACCAACCATCTCCGCCTGCCGCTTCTTCTCCTGTATACCTGCTGACATTTTGCAGCCTCGACCGACGAGGATTATTGCATGGTAAAATAAATTTCTTGCTGGTCCTAATTTTTGACTAATGTTTGATCTTTTCTGATTTTATTGCATGATTTTGCTAGATGTTACCCAAGTTCTCTGCGAGCTTGAGCTTACCATCCAAAGGGTAAAGGTGACAACAACTCCAGATGGTCGTGTGCTGGACCTTTTCTTCATAACAGACAACTTGTAAGGAAATCTCTTCCCCATTTTGGTCAAAGAATATCGAGTTGTAGAGTTGTAATGGACCTGTCGTTGTTCTTGTTGTGATCTCTTAAACAGTCTGATACAGAACTTGGGATAATGCATGGTGGAGCAGGACAGTGGGGTCTGAATGAAAAAAGAGAATCTGGTTTAAGTGAATTAACTGTTAACACGTCTTGAATAGGAATTATCCTGTTTTCTTAACTTTTTGTGTCTTTCCGCTGCAATGTCTTGGGCCTTACATGATGCTTCTTCATTTTAGACTCTCACTAATTTATTATGTAGGTCTTATCGGATTTAAAAGGAAAAAAACTAGCTATTCTCGTATTTGCTCCATTGATGTTGCTTTATTTATATCAAACTGACTTTTAAGAATGTTAATAAGCATGCATGATATATCCCTGTTCAGGAGAACAATAACATCCATTTCTGATACTTAAGGTCCTGTTTTCATCCATACTTTATATTGGACTAACAAAAATATAATCTGCAGATGATGTTTCCTTCTACCTTTTCCTGCCTTAAATCTTATAATTGCATTCCCTTGTGTCTATTACCAATTATATTATTATTCAGAGAGGTTAATGATGAAAAATGAAATATTTTTGAGATATTGTAATATAGATCTTTCAGCACAAAACTTCTGCTTTTCTACTGTATTAATTAAAGATCTTATAGCTATCAATGATGNGAATATTTAAAAGGTATATGAAAAAATTATGATCAAAGAACAACTCATCTGCCTTTCAAAATCCAAAAAATATCATGTTTTTTGGAACGAAGAAAATAATTAATTAATTAATTTATTAGAATGTAGAACGTTGAATTAATGTAAAACATGTAAGGGAGGGGGAGCATCCTCCACTTCCAATTAAGAGGTTGTGAGTTCGAGTCACCCCAAGAGCAAGGTGGGGAGTTCTTGGAGGGATGGAGCCGAGGGTCTATCGGAAACAGCCTCTCTACCCCAGGGTAGGGGTAAGGTCTACGTACACACTACTCTCCCCAGACCCCACTAGTGGGATTATACTGGGTTGTTGTTGTTGTTGTTGTTGTTGTTGTATAGCTATCGATGATATCTCTTCACTAATATTCATGTTCAGGGAGCTCTTACACACAAAAGAGAGGCAAGATGAGACGTACAAGCAGTTGCATGCTGTTCTGGGCCAATCATTTAGTTGTGAGCTTCAGTTAGCAGGCCCACAGTATGACAACCTGCAATGTGTCTCTTCTCTTTCTCCATCAGTTGCTGAGGAACTATTTAGGTGTGAACTATCAGATAATGAATTTTGCACACAGGCTCTTAGCCCAGTTATGATGAATTTGAAGAGGGCTAGTGTGACAATAGATAATTCGATGAGCCCCGCGCATACATTACTTCAGATTGGTTGTGTTGATCACAAGGGTTTTCTTTATGACATTATGCGCACATTGAAAGACTGCAATATTCAGGTACTGACTATTATAAATACTTCTTACTTTTCCCCTTTCATTATTGTTGTTCATAGTTGTGAGAGTATCCTGTTATTGGCTGTATTGACCTGAATTGGGTTCCTCCCTGACTTCAATGAGTTTGAAGTCGATAATTGCATTATTTTCTACTACAACAATTATTACGCCTCAATCCCGAGCAAGTTTGGGTGGACTAAATGAATCCTCATTGTCCATGTCTAAAAGATTAGTTTCTTTAGCCCTAGAAGTTCTGTACTGGCATATAAATCTTTAACAAGACCAAAAGACACCTAGCAAACATTGGACCAAAAATACTAGAATTGTCTGTGCTATAGAGAAAATTAGGTACGCAAGTTCAATGATATTGTCGATGTTGTCTTTGGTCTCCACTTTGATGAAATAGTAAACATTATGCCTATGCCGAAGCATCCTCAATAGTCTTATTTTGTCTCCTAATCCAGTGCTAGGTCCTGATCTTTTCCGCCAAATATCTTCATCTCCTATTCTTTAACCTCACACGTAAAATGACACTGCTTCTCTAAAATGCCTTTCCTACATTCCTTTATGGTGTGTTCTAAATGTTATCCACTTACTTTAAACTGAAAATTTTAATAAATTTTAAATACTGAAGTTTCATGGTCCCGCTTCTAGTCTTCTCAGTACAACTTTATCTTTTCTTCTACTCTTCTAAAACACAGAAATTCACATGTTTTTCATGAAAAGAGAATATGTCAAACTAAAAGTGGACAGCCAAATGGGACATAAAGAATAATGTATTCTTGGTAGGTAGTCATTATTGTAAGTTTCTGTCTTCTGTTAGGGAAACTGAATGCTTGTTTACCTATCAAACTAAGGAAGAAGATGATTCTTCCCGTTACTGTTTTAAAGATATCTAAACCAAAACCTTGTTCTGTAATACTTACCGAATATTTCAAAAGTTTGTTGTTCATAGATGAGATTTTTTTTTCTTCCAAATCCATTACTTTCATCTCGGTTTATATGTCTACTTGTCATTGGATTGATTATATGGCACTAAAATAATGAATTAGAAAAGCATGCTGGTTAATCTGATAGTTGATCTTTCCTCTTGTGTTTAGATTGCTTATGGTCGATTTTCACCAGTTAATAAGGGTCAGAAGGAATTAGACCTTTTTATTCGGCAGAAGGATGGGAAAAAGATTGTGGATCCAGATAAACAAGATGTTTTTTGTTCCCGCTTAAAAGTGGAAATGCTTCATCCTCTACGTGTAATTATCACAAATCGTGGACCAGATACTGAACTTTTGGTTGCTAATCCTGTGGAGCTATCTGGAAAGGGCAGACCACGTGTCTTCTATGACGTTACTCTGGCAATGAAGACCCTAGGGATCTGCATCTTCTCGGTAAGTATCTAGTGGTGAAGGAATGTTTCAAAGTGATGGATTGCGTGTGTATGCACTTTTGCTTAAAGGACAAAGTTCTAAAGAAAATTGAATGTAGGCGTTATCTCTTTAAGCAACTAACCTCCCATTTATAGACCTGGGGGGTGTGGATTTGGATATGGATACGGGTGCGGAGATTCGGCTAATAAAAAATAGAGCTATAAAAATATTGTAAATTTTGAGAGATTTTCTGTGAAAAACTTATATGAATATTGTAGAATTCAATCTTTCATTCTCCAAGATGGACATTATTCTTTCATTGTCCTAAATCTGTTTTATTTTTGATTTTGAGAAATTAAAATCTCAATTTTTCTCCCAAATTTGTCGATGGACTCCGGTAAAAGTGTCCGAAGTTAGTTGACCGAATCCGGGACGTATCCCGTCCCCGTCTCGTATCGGGACGGGGACGGCACCAAAATCGAAGAGTCCGCGCAACTTAGGTAATCACACCCATGTTTTTAATTTTATAGCTCCGGATGGTTCATTATATCACTTCATCCCTTTTCACAAGGTGTTTAATATCTTTTTGCAGGCAGAAATTGGAAGGCATTGTACAAGTGATCGCGTGTGGGAGGTTTACAGATTCCTTCTAGACGAAAATTGTAGATTTGACATGTTATGTAGAAATCAGATTGTAGACAAAGTCAGAAGAACATTGATGGGTTGGTGAGCTCACACTAGCTCTCTTATGGTCTTGCTGAAGAATGTTTTATGAGTGGTGAGCTTATCCTTCATCTTATCGTCCTACTCACCTTTTTAGGCATTTTGTATCTAATATTGTGTGTTGAGCATCGATGATCCCTTTGTACAGTTCATATGTAAATTATAGCCACATTTAATTGAGCTTGTCTTTATAGTGTGTGTTAGTTAAATCTCCTTAAAGAAACTTACTCTCTTCCCTTTTTCTTTCATCTACCTCATTTTGTGTCGGTATTTGTGAAATATATTTGTGCCTTGCTTCTTTGAAGTTCTGTTACATCTCTGAAAGGAATTCTGGATTTACAAATATCTTTGAAATGATAAGTAGGCCTCATTCCACATCATGAGTTGCTACCGTGGTCATAGTGCTAGTTAGGCTTGTCTTATTGAGTCATTTTTCATTATTTTTGTTTTGCTTAATCCCAGATCACATATTAATCGTGTTTTAACCTTGTTTATTACCCCATGACCTTCCTCGTAGCCCCACAGGCACCTCATTTCTACCTTGTAACTGTAATCTGTTGGTTTAGTTCATAGACAACCTTTTTACTTCTTTGTTACCTCCTTTCTTCTTTTGGCGGGTGTCTTTGTCAATCGAATGTGCTGATAACACTTGTATAAGAATTAATTGTTGTGTTAAATCTGGAAGGTCTATGCAAAGTCTTGGAGAATGAATGGATTGTGCTTTAACAGGAAGATTTTTGGATCAAAACATGATACTAGCTTGTTAACCTTATCAATATTGACTTGCCTGTTAGAATACCAACAGCTTTCTCTTCTATCAGGGTGCAAACTAGGCTGTTTAGCTTGGTTTTATAAAGATCTTTTTGCGATGAATTCTTTTTTTTTCTTTCTTTTTTCTGTTGTATATAATTGATGCAGATTCCTCACAAGGTAGGGGTAAGGTCTGCGTACACACTACCCTCCCCAGACCTCACAATGTGGTATAATACTGGGTATGTTGTTGTTGTTGTTGTATAATTGATGCAGATTAAAACACAGTCAAAATGTTGGTTAAAAGTTTCTTCAAAGTTAGATCTGGCTAGTGGTTTTGTTGATCTCCTTACAGAAGTTTGACCGGTAGCTATGTTGCCAATGCATTTGAAAAGGCGGCCAAACTTTTAATAGGAGGAGCCTAAAGTGGCTAGGCCAACTGATAATGTGACCACTCGAACTCATAAACGCAACGTGGATTCAAGATACAATTAGACAAATGAAGGATATCATACAGGAGCATAATTTAATTTACAAAGCCCAACATAATACAAAGGAGAAAATGAACTTGCATATGTTTTGTCCAAGTATGAAGGTTCATCGCAGGATCTTTTAATTGCTGAACTAATTTTGGTGTTCAGTCACTGCCTAGAGGAGCATATATAAGACAGATAATGCCTAACTTCAGCTTCAAACATACCAAACATTAGTTTTTTTGCTTGTTAAGATGGAGGGGATTTTTTATTTTATTTTTATAGTTGGCTGTTTGTATATGTGGTGTATCTATATCCAATAGCAGTTGGAACAAGTGTAATTAATCGTAGCTTAGTGGTTGCACAATTTTTTGTGCCCTTTGTTGTATAGAGAGTTGGGCATGTCCAACCTACAATCTACATGGTATTTGGAGAGGTGAAGCATCCGCATCATTGTCCCCTTCTATATGTTTTCACCTTTTGGATGTTAATATACTGTTGGGGTCTGCCTAACCTCCCACCACCATGGTCAGAATCTTACACAAATAGCCAATTCATCGATTGGCTATTTGTGTAAGATTCTATATTCATTATATTGGCCATGATATATACCGACAAAAGAATAAACAGTCTATTTGTGTAAGATTCTATATTCATCGATTATTTTTAATTTAAACGATTAGATGAGAGGCTATTTACGTTAATTCTTTTTTTTAAGAAAAGAAGAAAGATGGGGCAAGTGCATATATAGCTATTTTCAGGGATACTATTTAGAGATTAGACCGTACTTATTTTTGTCCTAAAAATTTGAACTGAAAAATTAAAATTCAGGGCGCACTGACTAATTTTTAAATAGCAGCCCTTTAGAGTACCTGATATAATTTCTGCAATAAAGATACAACGTGGAATAATATTTTGGAGCACATATATTCCTACGGCAGCTCTCATCGGCTACAGTTTTGACTGGTGTTTGGAATATAAGTGAAAACGTGTTCTTAACTACTCAATAATTAAGTAACAAATCTTTTATTTGTTATAAATATATTATATTATGGATGTTCATTTAGTACTCCATTGTAAATAAACTTCCTGAAGAAGCTTATCCATATGGGACTCCGCCGTAAACATGTTTATCTATTTAGTACTCTATTGGAAATAAGCCTCATGAAGAATCTTATCATTTCGATACTCCGTTATGGATAAATATTACCCCCGGTAGAAGATTATCTATATTTGGTACAATCACAACTTACAACCAGCTTACACAAGAGCTTGCAGTAGCAGCTCACACAACAGCTTGTTGTAGTAGCTTGCACTAGCAACTTACACAACATCTTCCTTTCTTCTATAAATAGAGGAGATTTTAGTTCACAGTGTACATCAGTTTGAAGTTGAATAATATATCAGTTTCTCTCTATACTTGTCTTTACTTTATAGTCTTTGGTTTATAACACGTTATCAGCACGTGACCCTGTCATCTCAAGCAAATACTTTGAAAGTATCAGAGGTACGAACTTTCTTTTTCTAAATAATGTCAAATCTTTCTAAACTTGAATTTGTAGCCATGGATATATTGGGCAAAAGCTATATGTCTTGGGTGTTTGATGTTGAAATTCATCTTGATGCAATGGGTTTGGCAAACACCATCAAGGACAAAAATCATGCATCACACCAAGACTGTGCCAAAGTAATGATATTCCTACGCCATCACCTTGATGGGGTCTTGAAAATAGAATATCTTACTGTTAAGATCTAGTCATACTGTGGAATAATTTAAAAAATAGATATGACCACCTAAAGATGGTTGTTCTTCCACAGACGCGATATGATTGGACTCATTTAAGGCTAAGAGATTTTAAATCTATCAGTGAGTATAATTTTGCTATCATTAAAATTATGAGGTGATAATATTACTAATCATGATATGTTGGAGAAAATTTTTACCACTTTTCATGGCTCGAATATACTCCTGCAGCAACAATATCGAGAGATGGGATTCAAAAAGTATTATGAACTTATATCACATCTTTTTGTAGTCGAGCAACATAATGGGCTATTAATGAAAACCCATGAAAGTTGACCTACTTGTTCTTGTCCATTACCTGAAGTGAATGAGACGAATTTCCACCAAGCTAAGCGTGGAAGAGGTCGTGGCCCCAGTCGTGGTCATGGCCGTGGTCGGGGAAGAAACTCTAATCATGGTAATAATAATGCACCAAAGAACCCTCCTCACCACCAGCAGTGGAAAAGGAATGAATAAAAGCATGAAGCGGTGCAAGCAACAAATACAGAAAATGCATGCTATAGATGTGGAGGAAAAGGGCACCGGTCACGTACCTGTCGTATGCCAAAGCACTTGGTTGAGCTTTATCAAGCCTCCCTGAAGAAGACAGAGAAAAATGCTTAAGCAAATTTTATTTCTGAAGATAATTTAGACTTCATACATTTGGATGTAGCTGATTACTTTGCACTCCCAGAAGGAGAAACAACTCATGTGATCGGTGATGAATTTGTAAAAATATAAATATTTTAATTTTTGTTGTTTGTAGTAGATAGTATGGTTATGTAATTGTTGTACATAAATAAAAGTTATGCTTTGATAATGATGTTTACTATAATATATTTTTTTATGTCATTTTGAAGAATATGGATAATCCTCAAATTATGTTTGGATCAAAGACCAATCATGAAGATATTTGTGTAATTGATAGTGGAACAACTCATGCCATATTCAAAGATCAGAAATACTTTTCTTATTTGCATAGGGAAAAAATAAATGTTTCTATAATTTCTGGTAAATATAAGTTATATAGCAGGCTCCGAAGGAGCCACTATATTTTTGTCTAAGGGAACAAAACTTATTGTAGATAATGCATTGTTCCCCTCCAAGTCCCGAACAAACTTGTTGAGTTTTATAGATATCCGCTGAAATGGGTATCATGTTGAGACGATAGATGAAATAAATATGAAATATCTTTGTATTACAAAGAATATTTCTGGCAAGAAGTGCATTGTAGAAAAGTTATCAATTTTATCTTCTGGCTTATACTATTCAAAGATTAGTACAGTTGAAACATACTCTATCGTAAACCAGAAGTTTACTGATTCAAATACTTTTGTGCCTTGGCATGGCCGTTTGGGCCATCCTGGATTAATAATGATGAGATGAATTACTAAAAATTCGAGTGGGCATCCACTAAAGAACCTGAAGATTCTTACAAATGATGAATTTTCTTGTGATGCTTGTTATCAAGGCAAAATAATCACTAGACCATCACCAATGAAGGTTGGCATTGAATCCCCTGCATTTTTAGAGCATATACATGAGGATATATGTGGACCTATTCACCCACAAAGTGGGTTGTTTAGATATTTTATGGTCCTAATAGATGCATCTTTAAGATGGTCTCATGTGTGCCTACTATCATCTCGCAACCTGGCGTTTGCAAAACTATTAGCCCAAATAATTCGATTAAGGGCACAATTCCCAGATTATCCTATAAAGGCTATTCGCCTTGATAATGCTGGAGAATTCTCATTTCAAGCTTTTGATGATTATTGTCTATCAGTTGGGATAAAAGTTGAACATCCTATAGCTTATGTTTATACTCAAAATGTCCTTGCAGGGTCATTTATTAAACGCATGCAATTGATAGCAAGACCACTACTTGTAAAAACAAAATTGCCCAATACCGTTTGGGGCCATGCTATCTTGCATGCAACATCACTTATTCGTCTCAGACCGACACATTATAATAAATATTCTCTGTCACAATTAGTTTTTTGTCATGAATCAAATATTGCCCATCTACGAATTTTTGGATGTGCTGTATATGTGCTAATAGCACCACCACATCGCAGTAAGATGGCCCCCCAGGGAAAATTAGGAATATATATTGGGTTTGAATCACTCTTTATTATTCGCTATCTTGAACCATTGACGAGAGATTTATTTATTGCTCGATTTGCAGATTGTCTGTTTGATGAAACTAATTTCCCACAATTAGGGGGAGAAAAAAAAGGAAATCAAAAGAGAAATTATGTGGAAAGTTTCATCATTATCTCATTTTGATCCACGTACCCCAATATG